AAAAAAAAGGCAACTTTCTTTAGATTAACATGTACTGGAGACTCCAGCTCTGTGCACAAATGACTACAGTGCAGTGAGTTTTTCACAGAAGCCGTATGAGTGTTATAGACAGCACACCATGTGCAGAATAGTTTATCCCATCTTTCCTGGCAGATTTTAAGCATTTCTATGGTAATATCTAACTGTGTGTTGTACTTACATTGCAAACCTTTTAGTAAAAGTCAACAAAAAAGAGCATTTAATGTTATTTTTTATTATTTGGTCTTTGAATTTTTTCTTTTTTCTTTTTTTGGTCTCCACAGAATGGTCCCAGCGCCAGATCATGTCATAAGATGTGCATTGACATTCAGCGAAGGCAAATCTACACATTGGGGCGTTATTTGGATTCCTCTGTGAGGAACAGCAAATCTCTGAAAAGTGACTTCTATCGTTATGACATTGACACAAACACATGGATGTTACTCAGTGAAGATACTGCTGCTGATGGAGGGCCAAAATTGGTGTTTGATCATCAGGTTTGGTGCACAATTAAATATATGGTGGAATTAATTAGTGCTCAGTAACTCTTGCTTTTAGGGTTTATTTCACATGTTATGCTATATTGTCTATTAGTGATTTCCTATAAATACCTATAATAGATAATAAAAATAACTGTTGTTTCAATAGGTATAAAGTTATCATTTAAAATTTTTTTCTCTTGTTTGGTGCAAGATAAAATACTAAGATCTCAGAATAACGAGTGTTAATTTATAAAAACTTCAGAGAGTAGATGGAGCAGTACATATTGGGAAAAACAAATTTTAATTTTATGATAAATAGTCATAACTCATAACAGTAACAACTTACACTTTTAAAATGTTTTATTCTGCATTCCTGGAAGAAATTTAAAATTATTTTATAATGAGTTTGATAGTTTGAAATCGAGAGCTTTTCTTCCAATTCAAGTGAAATATATTTACTTTTGTATATAATCCTAAAGCAGATAGAAATTTAACATATACCAGAAGAAGTTTAAACTGAGCACCAAAAAGGTGCTCCTGGGTGGCTCAGTTGGTTAAGTGTCTGACTTCAGCTCCGGTCATGATCTCCCAGTCCATGATTTCAAGCCCCATGTAGAGCTGGGAGCCTGCTTCAGGTTCTGACACCTCTCCCCGCCTTCCCTTCCCTGCTCATACTCTTATCTGTCTCAAAAATAAATAAATAAACATTTTAAAAGGCGCCTGGGTGGCTCAGTTGGTTAAGCATCCGACCTCGGCCCAAGTCATGATCTCGCGGTTTATGAGTTTGAGCCCCGCATCGGCCTCTGTGCTAACAGCTTGGAGCCTGGAGCCTGCTTCAGATTCTGTCTCCCTTTCTCTGCCCCTCCCCTGATCACACTCTGTCTCTTGTCTCTCAAAAATAAATGTTAAAAACAAAATTTTAACGGAGCACCAATAGAAATCACATAATGGTGCTATAGACTAGAAGACTACACATAGCGATCTGTAAGCCTTTTTAATATTAAAATTTTAATATGTTCATCATTATCCCCATCAATGTTGTTGTCACTCTTATCTGTATTTGGATGTTTAGTCCATATCAGTTTAGTATAGGTCAGTACACAAAACAATAACCAGTAACTGAATTATGAGGCCATTTTTACTTGGCTCACCCCACATCTGAAGGGTTTTTTGTAGTATGAAGGAGAAAAGACTTTTTAAAAATCTGTAACACTGCATTGATAAACATAGTATTATCTAGTACTTGAGAAATGGTAGGTGGTGCTAAGGTTATGACAGAATATAGCTTAGGCCTAATATCTAGTAATTAAAATCCCAGTCTTTATTTTTATTTATTGGTTCTCTTTATTTGTTTCTTTGGAGGTTCTTGTTAATGCTTTGCTTTTAAACTATTCTAATGACATAATAATAAGTAGTTTTTCTAGGAGAATGGTAAGGAAAAGAGGAGTGAGTTTTATGCCTATCAAGTGAGTGGTGGGTAGAAAAAAGAAATGTTAGTTTTCAAAGTATTCCCCAGTTTGAATTTAGAACTTCTGCTGGCTCTACATAACTGAACTCTGCAGAGCTCTGCACGTCCCTGCTGACATCCTCAGTGTTGCTCTTGTGGAAAATAAATACTCCAAAAAATGTTAGGCTGGTTCCAATCTTTTAAAAACAGAACATCAGCAGATAACACTGCTAGGGAAACCATTTATTTTCTTCCATCTGGTTACAGATTTCTTTTATAAAAGATGCTTATGTCTTTTTCAATGTCTTTTACACATTGAAAAAAGAATAGCTCAAGGGTAGTCTGAGTAGAGCACATACATTGTCCTTGTATGTGACCTTGGTTTGTCTTGACTTCAGTAAAGTAGAATGTTCTTTGGAAGCAAGTTCTGTTACATGATGCTTGATTTTCATCTTATTAGATGTAATAGAAGAACACTGGGGGAGGAGAAACCAGGATTTCACCAATTAACACAATCTTTATAAGCCCCCATTTTCTATTCTATTTCATGCAAATAAAGCTATATTTTGGAACTTACTCCAAAAATTACCTAGGGTCATTTATGACACATTAAGACTTGACACGTAACATTCAAATTTAAGAATGTAAGAGAGCTAGAAGCATGAAGATATGTTTAGAAGTTACTTTGCCATTTGGAATTTTAACATAAAAAAACTAAATTTTAAAGCTTTTGGATTTCTTAAGCTTAGTTCTGAAGCTTTCCAAGTTGTTGCTTTGTATGATTTTCAGTAACACTGAGAACCAACCAAAAAGATTAAGGAAAAATATTGCCACAGTATGGTCAAATATTCAGTAAAACCAGGAGCCAGAGAAAACCCACGACTCCCAGTTCCTTGTAAGTTTAGCCAGAAACAACTGAAATACCAGAACCAGTGTTGAAGCCCACAACAGTGTAATAAGGGAGAACTCAAGGCATAAAATAGAAACCCCCTAAACCAAATAAGGTTTGTGGTGAGAGATGTCTTGACTTCATAGTAGCCACCATATTTTGAAGAAGTCATTTAATTCAGTAGCAGCAGAGGTAAGAGCCCTTGAGCAAGAGCATTACCCTTCTGTAGGAACTTTCTGTTATCTGGTCCAGGGAAGTTCAACTCACTTAAATATGAAAAATGAAAAAGCAATAAACACCAGATCTTTAGAGAGGTACTCTGAAGAAAAATAGTAAGAAGAAAAAGAACCAGCAAAACTTTCCTTCGTGCAACAGCAGATGACAAATTATATCCCAGTGTTCTAAAATGAATTAAATGGCTTTGAAGCTTGCAACTGTGAAGAAGACTACAAAGCGTAAGTTCAGGAATGCAGATGAGATGACCAAATAATAGGTGCAGGTGAAAGTGGACCTGATAAAATTCAGGAAAGAGATTAAAGAAGAACACTTTCAGAATTGAAAAATAATCTACGCGGTGTGTGAAGAATAGGTAAGTGTCATATAGCATAGAAATAATAAGAGCAGATAAACAGAAAAAAGATGTAAAAACGATAAGCTGGAGAATTATAGATAGAGAATACAATCAAAAGAGAGCCAACCTACACATAATTGGAGACATTAAAGAAGAAAACTCAAACAGTGGAATTGAATAAATATTTATAAATAATGAATTCAAGACTACGTATTGAAAGGCCATGCTACATTCAGGGAAAATTGATCTAGGCACTCAACTCTAAGGTATATATTAGTAATTCATATTGAATTTCAAAGATAAAGCAAAGATAAAGCATTTTGGCGCAGCTAGGCAAAATTATCAAGAAATAAAATTAGACTGGTGTCAGATTTTTCTACAGCTATATTCAATACCAAGAGAGGCAGTAGAGCAACATCTACCAAGTATTCAAGAAAAGACAGTGTGAGCCAAGGGTTTTATATCTAGCCAAATTGTTCTTCAAGTATAAAAGTTTTTTGAGGAAATTACTAGACAGTAGAATACAAGCTAGCCAAGAAGTGGCTGGAGAAACTTCAATCAAATGCTTTGATACCTCAGCTCATTAACATTCTCCCTAGGTCATTAGATTATTGTCAGGCTGGATGTATACTTTAAATACCCTGCTGCCCCACAATCTGTGAAATGCAAAAGAATTTTTGTTGTAATGTTGAAAAACGAAGAATGTCTTGTTTTTAAAGAAAATTGGGGAGAATTCCTGTAAGGTAGAAAACAAAATGAGTCCAGATCCAACTGGAGGAAACCAGAGCCTATAGATTTTTTTTTTTTTTTTTTTAAATTTCTAGGAGAGAGAGGGAGATACAGACTCTGAAACAGGCTCCAGGCTCCAGGCTGGCAGTCAGGACATAGCCCGACGCGGGGCTTGAACCCACGAACCATGAGATCATGACCCAAGCGAAAGTCGGACGCTTAACCGACTAAGCCACCCAGGTGCCCCCAGAGCCTATAGATTTTTAAACAATTGGATTGTGGAATAAGTAGCTGTCCACAACTTGATTGTAGCAACTTGAGTCTCAAGATGTATACAGCTGGGGCAAACATTAGATGATCATTGGTGACTGAACAGCAAGCTGCCAGTTTGAACAGTACTTACCTTTGATAATTATCTACAGATCAGGGTTTGAGCATGGACACTGGAGCTGGAATGATAGAGCAGTACTCCCAGGAGGCACTGGACAGCTGCTGTGGAACCCTCTAGGGCGTTGTGTCTCATTTCTCCCCACCCACTTCCTTGAGGCAGGCTGCTATATTTGAAGAGGCGGATGAGTAGGGATTCACAGATACAAAAAAGATTGTAACAACAGCCAAAAAATTCCAAATGTTTGAAAATAACTAATACCATGAGACAGGGCTACTGAACTCAGCAAAGTAAGAATTAACAAAGAAAAACAGTAGGAGTGTTTACTGAAGAAGCCTTTAAGATAAGTTTAAAAGTGATATTTTTTAGAATAATTCAGGAGGCTGTTTCATCCGTGATAAAGAAGTATCTAGAAAAATTATAAGTTAAAGATTTGGCAGCAAAATAAAAATCTCAGTGAATTGATTAAAAAGCTCTCCCTTTTGTAGTTCATAAGCATGATGATTGGGTGTTCATTCCATTGTGTGACATGTGCCACCCTTAAACCTTGTTACGACGCAGGCACATTACCCATCTGACGTGAAAAAAAAAAAAACCCTCCCTCTAAATGGTTACTAAATTAGTAAGCTGAAATTATGAGAGAAATGTTAAGGAAAAGAGAAAAGATCCTGAAGTTTTAATATCCACCTGATAGGAGTTCTAGAAAAAGAGAATGGAGGCAAACCAAAAACAGCAAACCTCAAGATTAAGAAGGAAAAAAAACCTCAGAGCAGAAGAAAAGACAATTTTTAGAATTAGAGGAACACCAGGGGCACATTAGGCTGAATGAAGAAAGAATATCCCTACCTAGATACTTCCTTAATGAAATTTTAGAACCAGGAATTAAGAGAAAACCCTAATGTCTGTAGAGAAGAAACTTGTTGCCTTTGTAAATAAGTAAGCAAGGACCAGATTAGCATGAGGCATTTTTAGAGGTTGGTGGATTAGGCAACACTGCTTTGAAAGCTTTAGATTTTGTGAGGAAACAATTATTTTGCATCCAGAATAATCCTAGCCAATCTTGTATTCATTTGATAGAGTAAAGACTCTTTTGGATTTTAAAACATTGTGGTGCGGAGTAAGTGGCTATCCACTATTTGTTTGATTTTAGAAATCCAATTTCTAACTTGATAGAGTGAGTGGTCTTCCAATTTTTGACTTACATGGTTTCTGGAAATCTTCAAGAGAAAAGGTGTTAGTATTATACAAACTTTAGTAAGTCATTAGCTTTTCAGAAATTTTTTTCAGAGATTAAAAGTGAAAATGAAATTATAAACTGCTGAACAGCATGAAGTTTCCTATAGTGATTAACACTTCTTGTTGTTTGATAATTGACTCTCATTGAAACTGCTTATCATATCCAGGGAAGAACCAAGCTGAAGGAATAAAATTATTTCTGTTTTGTCTCCTGTTTGTTCTAAGATATGGGAAAGAATCAGTGAAGCTACTGTAGTATCTTACTCTTTTTTTGAGTTGGTTTGGTCTGGTTTTCTGGAAAGAGCTACCAAGATAAAGATCTATTTATGCTTCACCACTAACAACAAATGAGAATAAGCCATATTAATTAAACTTAAATATCCCCAGAAGGAAATAGAAACCCCTTTTGTAGCTGTATGAAGCAGAAACATAAGGGCTGGATAACAGATTAACCAAAATTAGTATGAATTTGTAAATTTATGAAAATTTAAACAGGGTCATATAATGTGATCACTCAAGATTTTCAACATGATCCCAAGGTACTTGGAGAGATCTGAGCCTTAAACACTTGAGACATGGTAGTGTGACTCAGGTTCCGTGAAGCCTTAGACAGTGGTATAGTAGGTGAATGGGGCCATACTGAGTTGTCTTCAATAACATATGGATTGCTTTTAATGATATGATTATTAAAGTCAAAGAGTGGGAATACTTTCAACTATATTCGCCAAGATTCCACCCTTGAGGAATAGTAAATTTTCATCTTAATTTATGGAAGGTTGTCAGAAACCTGGGAAATGGCAAGTGACTGGATCTTTTTTAGTGGTTAGGGAAATATTGGGAGATGCTAGAATCTTTTCTTTATAATATGAATTTAAAAAATAAAATATATAATTATTAAAATAACTTTTTCCTAAAAACAGTACAAAAATAGATGCTTATTACAATTTGATGGGAGAAGAAAATTGGACATACAATGGCTGGTATTTGTACTTTAGCCCCAAAACATAGATGTTTTATGTATGCAGTTTATTCTTTATATATATATCAGTGCCACTTGTGTTCAACATCTGATTCCCAACTTGGACTTATACAGAATTTTCCCAGTTTATCTCTCCACTTGGAAATAGAATTTGATTCCTATTGTCTTGTGACAAATGGCTTTTTTCTCAGAGATACTTTTATGAAAAGGCATGATCTCCTTGAGTGGAAAGAATGAAAGAATCAAGACTGCCTTCTGAACATAAATTGCATAACATACCTCAAAGAAAATTAAATTTATAGTATTGTGTTAAAGGAAGCAGATTCATCACCAGAGAAGTCAGCCTGGATTGACTGCAAATGTCTTTTTGTTTGTTTTGCTATTTCGTAACAACATAATTTGAAGAGTTTTGCAAAATAAATACAGAAAGATGAATTCAGCTGTATCACTCTTATTGACATATATGCTGTCTGATTAAATGGTAGAAAAATTAAGAGGATGGATGGTTGCCTAGAGCAGAAAGAAGAGAGTTTTTAAAAAGAGGATGAAGGGGAAGGTGTGGTCACTTTATCCCTAGAGTATGAAAAGTATTCAATCTTATGTATAATTTAGCACCTCGTGTATTATTGATTGATTTGGTAAAAATTATGCAGTTTCCAGAAAGCATAAAGCTCTTTAACTCAAAATATTTTACTGTCACTGGGAAAAATGGAAACCTGAAAAAGTATTTAGAAATCTATCCTGAATCTGTGCATTTGGTGAGCATTATTAAAGTGTACATGATAATCAAGGGTGCTATTTAGTGTTGTTAAGACAAAGTTTAGTTTTTTGAGAATCTAAAGGTGCACACGTTGGTTTCATTTTAGCACATATAACAGGACCAATCTGTAACTATTCAATCTGTTGTCTTGTTCTGATAGATGTGTATGGACTCAGAAAAACATATGATCTACACCTTTGGTGGTAGAATTTTGACATGTAACGGCAGCGTAGATGACAGCAGAGCCAGTGAACCACAGTTCAGTGGGTTATTTGCTTTCAACTGTCAATGTCAAACTTGGAAACTTCTTCGAGAGGACTCCTGTAATGCTGGGCCTGAGGACATCCAGTCTCGGATAGGACACTGCATGCTATTCCACTCAGTAAGAATATTCTATACATTGTATTGTTATTTTGTCATGTATATCTCAATAGGAAAAGGAGTAGTCAAAATCTAAATCTTCAGAAAGAGATCAAAACTTTTCACTAAAAATAAATGATTAGTGTTAGCAATGAAAGACAAAAATAAAACTTCCTTGGCCATTGTACTGTTTGCTAATTATGAGACTCTTCCCATTAACCTAGTAATTCCTGAATAGTTATTACTCAGATACTAATGAAGCCACTTTTATGACTAACTTTACTGCTTATACAGATATTGTAGCTATTTCTCTTGCTTACACTCAACTACTTACTGATTTTTCGTAGTAACTAGAAGATCAATTGTTTTATTTTCCTCTCTGCCACTCTTTATTAAGTGTGAGGAATTAAGAATTGACTGTATAGAATTAGAATTTAAATTTATCAACAAAACCAATATAGAAACATTTCTTTAACCTTTCCAGTTGTTATGATGAAAACTTGGGCTTCTTTCTGTGAACATAACTTTAAAAACATACTGTGGAATATTTTAAACATATATCAAAGTATAGAGAAGAGTGTAATAAATTCCTGTGTACTTATTTGTTTCAACAATTATCAATATTCCACTATTCATTTTTCATATATCTGCCCCACTTAATATTTTACTTCTTTCTTTGATGTTTCTCTGATTTTTAAGTTTGGGGTTTTTTTTTAATTAATTTATCTTTTAATTTACATCCAGGTTAGCATGTAGTGTAACACATATAATAATCCCAATCATTATACCTGTAATTACTGTAGTGTATCACTAACAGATAAGAACTTTTTATAAACATAATTATGATATCATTATAATAGTGAACCAAAGCACCAGCAGATTCATATTATCATGAATATATAGTTTGCATTCATTTTGTTTTCTGAAATACTGAAAAATACTTTTCTATAGCTGGTTTATGCAAGTCAGACTCTAAAAACAGTCTGTGTATTGTATTTGGTTGTTATGCCTCTTAAATTTCTTTTAAGCCATAACAGTACTCCCTGCTTCTATTTTTTCCCCCTTGCATACCATTTATTTACTTGTTAAACTGAATCATGTGTGCTCAAGAAAATTTCCCATTTTCTTGATTTGGCTAATTTTATCCTTGTAGTATATTGTGATTGTCTAGTCCATATTTCCTGTAAGCTGGTAGTTAGATCTAGAGATTTCATTTCAGAGTCTCTTTTTTTTGGGGGGGGGGGGAGGCAAAAGGAGGAGTGCAAGAATACTTAAAAGATGGCCTGATTGCAAAATATCAAGCGGCACATTTAATGTGTCGTTGTCATACTCTTGGTGATGTTAACAATATTCTTTGGGTTTACGTGTTAGCCTAGCCTGATTGGTCAGTGATAAAATTTCTTGTCATTCTTTTTACTGAATGGTTTTTGCAGTCATTGATAATCATTGTGTGGGGTTTGTGAAACTGAGATTTTTCTGATTACTTTATTTATTCTGTATTTATTAACTGATTCTGATATTAAAAACTTATCCTCATTAACTATTTGGCTACCCTGATGTGCATACCACACAGAAAAATATTTGATTTTTTTTCTCTTTATCACTTTTTCGTATTAATAAGTTGAGGCTCCAAAGTTAACCAATGTATTTTTTTAGGCATTATCATGAACTTGTGGACTTATATATTTGATGTGTTTAATCCAGTGCTGTCCTTATTCTTCTTGATGCCCCAGTTTTTCTCTTTGTCCAGGAGTGCCCCCTTCCCACATATATACGCACACATATAGCTATATACACATACTGCTATATGTATATATGTACGTATCTATATATCTTTTTAGTAAGAGAAAAATTAAATCATTAGTTCCTACCAATACAGCCAATTCAAATTAAAAATCATAGAGTTTTAAAATTGAATATCCTTTTGATTTTCTATTTATGTATCTTTTAAGGTTAAAATAGTGCTTCCTAATGACAGTCTTATATTATTCTGTTTTTCTGTAATAGTTACAGAATCACAGAACTAACAAGAATTACTGAATGTTGTTTCAGGTTGCTTTCTGGTTATTTTTCTGTTTAGGATATAGCTGGGGATGGGGAGTCAAAAAACATGAATTAAAATCACTAGAAATACTATTTTTCTGTGTGATCATGTCTCTGTGTGGTCATATCTTATGTACAGATAGGTTTATTTCAGTGTTTTTCAAATTTCAGAGATTGTCTTTTTCTTTGGAGTTAATTTTGT